ATATTAAATTAAATGTTTTATTACCAACTCGCGAACAATAATTCTGCAATTGACCTTGGAAACTCAGTACTACATAAGGTAGATAAAGGTATTTTGTATGGTTTCTATAATATGGAGCACCAGTTTTCTTTGACAGACCTTTTACTACATAGTCCAGTCAATAAAGAACTCAATTTCTAACTTCGGGACTTTATTTATAGTCCGATTTTTAATTCGGCGGAATTCTGACAGCTGTCATTTTTTGACAATTCAGATGTAATAAGCATTTTTTGCTTTGAATTATTAATAGGTAAATAATATGAAATGAAATTATGTCAATTACAACTTACAAGAATTTTATTAATAACACTATTGTTTGTTTTGTGAATTCAATGTACACTAATTATTATGTACAGACGACGGCACGTCAAGGTAACCACTGCGGGTTCCTGTGCAGTAGTAATAGGGGCGAATTTATGTGCTGTCGTGTGTACATTTTAGAATTAAATAGAAAAAAACGCATAGAATAGCATTTCAAAGGCTCATATAAACAACAGTTTTAAATTTCATAAATATTCCTCAAACGGTACTTTCAAACTCCCCTCTTCCCACCGGCTCAAAGGCTAAGGGCGGGGACTTTTGTCGTCATGTTCACCTCCTTACTAGTCTAATAAAGTATAGAAGTCAGAAATTGTGTTCCACGCATTTCTCTCTATACCGTCGTTTAGGTATTCATTGATTGGACTTACAGGAGCCACTCGTGTTATGTTTTTATTGGTGGTCAGCTTTAGGTCATGGCGTTGGCTGGGGCAGTATGAATTGGGGGTGGGATATCCTCGTAAATCATTTATAAATATTAAATATTCGAGTATGGGCATTTCTACGGGGACGACCGATCGACGTACTGGGGCGAAAAAAGTACTTTTAAAATTGAAACGACTTGAGAAAAATCACACGTGTTTATGAGGACTCTTGACTTGATGGAGAGCATATTTAAAAGACCGCCAGGTTTCACATCTCGCCTTGAAAAAATCCGAAAGTTCAAAAACGGGCGAAATTTGGCCTAAAATGGTGTGTCCGGTTTCCAGAATTTACTCGTTTTTGCTTCATAACTTTTGAAATAATAACTTCCCCATTATGATACCCACATTCACAGAACAAGGGATAGTTAATAAAGCCATATAAATGAGTTTCTTTATTGTAAGTCAGTCTTTCCCAAAGTGGGCGATAACGCCCCCTTGTGGGCGCTGCAGGCTTAAAGGGGGGCGGTAAGAGACTCAGAAAAAAAATCGGGATGTTGTGTAGAGGTTTGGGAGGCGTCATCTACTTACTAGGAGGACTCTTAGACATCGACTGAGCTCGACTCTTGACGACAAAAATGGGGGGCGCTAAAAAATAATTTATTCTCAAAGTGGGCAGTAGACTAAATAAGTTTGGGAACCACTGTTGTAAGTCCTTGGATTTTAATACAGTAACACATTTAGGTAAATGTTGTCCGACGTGTTTGTCTCAATTCCGTTATTTTTACTTTTGTGCTCCTATATCACTAACTACGCACAGTAAGAACACCCACGACTGATTCCCATAAACTAGCAGTAGCACTCGAGTGGTCGAGCAGTATAAAAGTGGGATCTGTCGCTTTGAGGAGCATTTTTCAGAGGTTTGAAATCACTCAGAATTTTTGGTCACTGGTCATTGCTCAAACCGGTGTGCGACATTAATAATGTTCATGAAGTATTTAATAAGATTACTGCTGAATTAATTAAGTATTTAACTGATATCTGCCATTACGTTTGGTAGAAATTGTTGTAATTTATAATATTTTCGAGTAATTTGATGAAATGTGATTTTTCCTCAATTCCGTGGATCTCAATTCCGCGGAATATGGGGCATCGAATTGAGAAAACACGTACACCGAATTGATATTAAATGAAAATAGATACCTACTTTTATTGTGCTATAAATTGTTTGTGTATCTTAAAATAATAATGAAATCAATAGAGCATAAAAATAGGGTGAACCAATCATTGGACCGTACCAGTCATTGGACAGAAGACAATAAAACTAATTTTTTTGAGGTTTCATTAAAAATAATACACTGCTATTGCTACTTATCAAAATAATTCTTCCAGGTTCTTCCCTCGACCTTCACCAGATCGTCGGTCTACCTAGTAGGGGGCCTGCTCACTGTTCCGTGGTTTCCACTCGACAACTTTTCAGTCCCAACAGCCATTATCTGTACGAGCTATGTGCCCCGCCCACTGCTACTTGATTTATGCAATTCTGCGGGCTATGCCGGTCACTTTGGTTCTTTTGCCGATATTTTCATTTCTGATTCTTATTAGGCTCATAGTAAGCGACCACGTTTCACATCCATACACCATCAGTGGCAACACACACTGGTCGAAGACTTTTGTCTTAAGACACTGCGATATTTCAGACGTAATAGCGAAGCTTCCCGATCGATGCTTAGCTATGTTGAATTCAGCGATAGACCTCTTTCTCAAAGTTGGACCTAACTATCTGGACTCTTGTCCCAGGTAAACACAATTGTCAAAAACTTCGAGTGTAGTCTCCAACCTTCAGAGGAGTGGGTGCAACACGGACATTTGACATGATTTTTGTCTTGTCCATGTTCATTTTGTGACCCACTTGTTGAGAGGCTCTGCGGAGGCCATCGAGCATTGTGCTTAGATCTTCCAAGGTCTCAGCCATGACTCCGATATCGTCCGCGATATCGCGACTCCTTGGTCTTCTGTATAATCTGCCGTAGCGTACCTGTGTGTGTACCATAATACTAAAGCCTTTTCGGAAACAAGCTTGTTCGGAAGACTGGAAGTCGTCGAGTCTGCGAGCAAGATGATTCGTAAGGACTCTCGAAAACAGCTTGTAAACAGGATTACTAATGTTTGGCCAAAAAACGTTTCCCAAATTATCACATCGCAAACAACGTTTCGCAAATTTTCATTTGGCAAATTTTTATTTGGCAAAACAACTTATTGCAAATTTTTAATTCGCAAATGTCGTTTTTGGCATATTATTGTTTACCAAATTATTGTTTAAAACTTACGTTTCCCAAAATATTTCACGATAAAAAAATTACAAAATAATTTGATTGGTGCATAGAATGGAATACAAATTAGCTTGTGGTTATTATTTTGTTTAGTGGGTAGTTAATATTTTGTTCTAAATTAATTTTCATATTTTATTCTTTTTATTGAAATTTCCAAATGATTCATTAACAATAGAGGTGATTCTACTGTTCTAACCTAACCTAACCCACTATTTTCTACAATACTTACTTTCTGCAACCATACTATTTTCAGCAATCTCTTTGTTTTACATATTTTTTTTGTGAAAACCATGATCATGAGCTTTGATTTGTGGGTAATGGTGGGTAAGTATGTGAAGTGTCAATTTGACCAAACAAATTATTTGGAATATGATATTTGGCAAAATAAAACATTTGCTATACAGGGTGTCCCGTAATGTAACGTCAAGCCGGAACTGGGTGTTGAGGCAAGTTATGCTGGTTATCAGAAAAATATAAAAAAAAATCTATGTAGCATATTTTCAAAATAATGGGCATTTAAAAAAAAAACAAAAATTTCTACTCCAGCTGACGGTCTTTTTACTCGTGTTGCCACAAATCTTCACTTTTTCCAAATTTTTTTTTTGTTATGTAACCCTGAATAATGCTTCTCTAAATTGTTATCAAAATTACAAAACTAGCTGCTTCAGCTTGGATAAAAAAATACATTATTTCCAAAAAAATTTTCAAAATAAAAATTTTGTCTCGTTTAAACTGACTGTACTGAAAAAAAAAAGTACTACGCAAGTGTGGCATGTGACGTCATAATTTGGCGCATTTAGTAAGGATTCCAAAATGGTATAACACTTGGTAAATTCTTGCATTAATTGTCGATCATTTTTGGTTTTTTGGAAATAANATTTATATTTTTTATTTATTTATATTATTTTATTTACTTTTATTGGTTACTCTGCAATGCCAAACAACATAACATGTAAAAATATCAAATCATTTTAGACAAATATATTTTCAACTTAGACTCGTCATATCTCAGAATTCCCATATCTCACAACATAGCTCTTTAAGTGAATATACCTACAAATATAAAGCTTTGAAATAAAATACGTTTCATTTTTGTCCGCCCTGGGGCATTTTCTCATATTAAAGTTCCCAATGTCCTTTTGGCTATAAGTTGTTTGCGAAGTGAAATTTGGCGAAAAGTAATTTGGCCAAACGGAAGGATACCTTGTAAACACGCCTTATAAGTGAGATGAGTCTATAATGCTATCACTACACTTCTAGGCCATACCGAAGGCGTTTTTTCTTCGAGAATGACGAATTGAACTTCTGTAGAGCCTTTAGTACCGGCGATGCTCAGCCATGATGCCGTAACACCCGGTGCCTTGTTGTATTTCAGCTATTTGAGAGCCATTTTAATCGTGTACAAACTGACGTTCGATATATCTTCGGTATAGTGTCAGGTCAATGTAGCTCTTGGGTCTTGCAATATTTGTTTTATGTTTAAGGTTAAGAATAAATAAACAATGAGACCCTGTGTTATGTATTTATTTATTTTATTTAAATAAAATTAAAATAATATAAAAATAATAAGAATTAATTATAGTTCTTTATAAAAAAATAAACATTTTGATTAGGATTTTTGTTATATTCCATTGGTATTTCAGACACATAAACCTAAAATGAACCATCTAACTAATAGACCAGCAGTCAGATATCAAAACGTTTTAAGTATTTATTATATCGATTATTGAAATACATTAGGTATTTCTTCATAATGTCATCAATTCTAAGTTTGTGGAGCAATTTTTTATATTTGGAGATTCATTTCTCAATTCAGTAATTCATTTTCTCAATTCGGTGCTCTCTCAATTCGGTGCTTAACTTTTCTCATAAACCACTTCACAATATTTAGTGAAAATGCTATTTTTACATTCAGAATGGAGTAAAATTTATTTTTTTGTATTGAAACTACTTAAAAAACTAAATATAAATTTTAGCACCGAATTGAGAAAAAATACACCATGCAGTAGAAATGCCCATCGAATGCGAGACAAAGGTCGTCCCCATGAGCTAATGCACCACGGGCCCATTAGGTCGTCGTAAATTTTCATTCATTCATATGAATTTTACTTGAATAGGTGCAATTTACCCGAGATAAACATAGGTACTATCGGCCACACTTCGCTCACATCAAATGGTGATTCTTTGCAATAGAACGAGATGACATGACCGGAAATGGGTAGCTGGATGACCGATAGTACTAGTACTCTACTCATTGATGTTACTCGTACTGTCCAGTATACTGAGTTATTTATTATTTATTTTATGAGGATAGTTAGTTAATTTACAGATTATGGCTCATGAAATTATACCCCGAGGTGACGCAATCTTCATCTTAGTAACAGTTGTGCTTAATAGGTGCTAAGTTGGCAAAATAAATGTAGTAGTAGGTTGTCTAATACCTAATACATAGTAAGTGCCTAAAGTAAAAGACAATTATTTAGAATACGTGTATGTAATTTAATTGAAAAAGTTGTTACAATTCAGATGGAACTAAGTAATATTTTCATTATCTACTATTGCAAGTTATCATTGTTTATTCTGAGAAGCCACAAATATAATAGATAGAAACATGACAATTACAAGACAAAATCTTTTTTAAGCAAATTAAATTAAAGTCGAGTTCTATTTTGCTACTCTCCCATTGTTTGCAGAAATGCGTAGTATGAAAATGTTGTCTTCAATATCTGAAACAATAATACCATAAATAATTAACATTTTCCCTGAAATACAGTAAGACAATCGTAGAAACAACTTAGTATTTGAAAGTTGCGTTTCGAAAACTAATTTAGGTGCGCTGCATCAGGTGCGCTTCAAAATGGGTGCACTTTTAAGAATAGGTAACTCTGTCCTGCCATATCTACATTGAAGGACTCGTATTCCTTACCCCGGTCATGGTGCTGACGCCGACGGCCGCCAGCCCCAGCGCCTTGAGGCTGATCTTGTACTGCATCTTGTGCAGCATGATGCACGCCGTCCGCCGGTTGCTGGTGTCCATGCACTCCCACGGCAGGAAGTAAGCTGAATCTATCTCGCTATATCTACATTGAAGGACTCGTATTCCTTACCCCGGTCATGGTGCTGACGCCGACGGCCGCCAGCCCCAGCGCCTTGAGGCTGATCTTGTACTGCATCTTGTGCAGCATGATGCACGCCGTCCGCCGGTTGCTGGTGTCCATGCACTCCCACGGCAGGAAGTAAGCTGAATCTATCTCGCTATATCTACATTGAAGGACTCGTATTCCTTACCCCGGTCATGGTGCTGACGCCGACGGCCGCCAGCCCCAGCGCCTTGAGGCTGATCTTGTACTGCATCTTGTGCAGCATGATGCACGCCGTCCGCCGGTTGCTGGTGTCCATGCACTCCCACGGCAGGAAGTAAGCTGAATCTATCTCGCTATATCTACATTGAAGGACTCGTATTCCTTACCCCGGTCATGGTGCTGACGCCGACGGCCGCCAGCCCCAGCGCCTTGAGGCTGATCTTGTACTGCATCTTGTGCAGCATGATGCACGCCGTCCGCCGGTTGCTGGTGTCCATGCACTCCCACGGCAGGAAGTAAGCTGAATCTATCTCGCTATATCTACATTGAAGGACTCGTATTCCTTACCCCGGTCATGGTGCTGACGCCGACGGCCGCCAGCCCCAGCGCCTTGAGGCTGATCTTGTACTGCATCTTGTGCAGCATGATGCACGCCGTCCGCCGGTTGCTGGTGTCCATGCACTCCCACGGCAGGAAGTAAGCTGAATCTATCTCGCTATATCTACATTGAAGGACTCGTATTCCTTACCCCGGTCATGGTGCTGACGCCGACGGCCGCCAGCCCCAGCGCCTTGAGGCTGATCTTGTACTGCATCTTGTGCAGCATGATGCACGCCGTCCGCCGGTTGCTGGTGTCCATGCACTCCCACGGCAGGAAGTAAGCTGAATCTATCTCGCTATATCTACATTGAAGGACTCGTATTCCTTACCCCGGTCATGGTGCTGACGCCGACGGCCGCCAGCCCCAGCGCCTTGAGGCTGATCTTGTACTGCATCTTGTGCAGCATGATGCACGCCGTCCGCCGGTTGCTGGTGTCCATGCACTCCCACGGCAGGAAGTAAGCTGAATCTATCTCGCTATATCTACATTGAAGGACTCGTATTCCTTACCCCGGTCATGGTGCTGACGCCGACGGCCGCCAGCCCCAGCGCCTTGAGGCTGATCTTGTACTGCATCTTGTGCAGCATGATGCACGCCGTCCGCCGGTTGCTGGTGTCCATGCACTCCCACGGCAGGAAGTAAGCTGAATCTATCTCGCTATATCTACATTGAAGGACTCGTATTCCTTACCCCGGTCATGGTGCTGACGCCGACGGCCGCCAGCCCCAGCGCCTTGAGGCTGATCTTGTACTGCATCTTGTGCAGCATGATGCACGCCGTCCGCCGGTTGCTGGTGTCCATGCACTCCCACGGCAGGAAGTAAGCTGAATCTATCTCGCTATATCTACATTGAAGGACTCGTATTCCTTACCCCGGTCATGGTGCTGACGCCGACGGCCGCCAGCCCCAGCGCCTTGAGGCTGATCTTGTACTGCATCTTGTGCAGCATGATGCACGCCGTCCGCCGGTTGCTGGTGTCCATGCACTCCCACGGCAGGAAGTAAGCTGAATCTATCTCGCTATATCTACATTGAAGGACTCGTATTCCTTACCCCGGTCATGGTGCTGACGCCGACGGCCGCCAGCCCCAGCGCCTTGAGGCTGATCTTGTACTGCATCTTGTGCAGCATGATGCACGCCGTCCGCCGGTTGCTGGTGTCCATGCACTCCCACGGCAGGAAGTAAGCTGAATCTATCTCGCTATATCTACATTGAAGGACTCGTATTCCTTACCCCGGTCATGGTGCTGACGCCGACGGCCGCCAGCCCCAGCGCCTTGNTGCGTTATGATTAAAATATTGCGGTTTGCGGGCGATAAAAGCAATGGATAAAAGTGCAGTTTTTCACTCGCGAGACTGCGAAGATTGTTTTTACGGTGAAGTGTGTCAAAGCTTGGCGTTCAGAAACGCCAAGAATGACCACAGAGATGTGGAAACCAAACAGTTTTCTTGTTCGAGGAGTGTGCCTCTCCACACAACTCCTGGGAGGTTATTCAATCATAATAACGCCACTTCAATACTCACACACACTTTATTATTAAAATATTATCAAAATCTATTACATATTAAATATTAAAACATTTACAACTAAATCTATCGAACTTCAATAATACAATGATACAATGTCACATTTTCTCGCTTGTCTACACCTGTCATTATTTTCAAACTTTATTCTAATGCTGTTTACTTTTAAAGTAAAACCTGCCAGCAACATGTCATCTCATGATAAAATTCTATATCCTAACATTTCTACCTGCAGACAAAACTATTTGGGAATTAAAAATAAAAATAAAACTGCGTACATCTGCGTAGGTATACAGGGTGACTGGAACTGAACCCGTCATAGCTAATACGCGTATAGGATCATTTGCTAATTATTGAACCTATGCGAGAAAAAAATTTAAGCAGTTTTTAGGTAAAATTTCTGAAAAATCTAAAAAAAGTATAAAAATTGACATATCTCCTAAACTATAAAACTTCATAGAAAGTAGGGTTCAATAATTAGCAAATGACCTCCTCTATACGCGTATTAGCTATGGCGGGTTCAGTTCCAGTCACCCTTTATAACCACATTACAATGTGATTGAATAGTGCATGAATTTAATAAGTCTCANTACTTTACGATTTTTAATCGTTGCTGATCATCCAGCAGTTTCCAACTTTCCATCAGGTCAGATGAAGGGCAAGAGCTTGCTCGTTGTGGATAAAAAATGTTCTGTTCAGTTATTGTCTCTAAACGTGTTCTACGTAACGTACACTTAATAGATTGGAAACATTAGTTAGTCCTAAGAAAGTCAAAAACATGTAACGGAATCTCCGACTTACTACTTTAGTAGAGCGATTACAGAAAATAATGGCCTATTAAGTACATGTTTTTTTGTGTTATTATGAAAGTTTTGAAANCGCGCAACGGACCATCCGTGCAAGACAAGGACAAAAATATTGCTATCTCACGCTCTAGAATGTTCGAAGCGAGAGGTCCGATATTTCCGTCTCGTTTCTTCTCTATTTTTTCCTGAACATTCCAGATTTTCCAGAAAAGTGTGAAAGAGAAGCTATTTTGTGGAAGTGAGAGATCAGACAATGCAAGAAAGAGGCCTACCGAGTGAGTAAGCGAGAGAGCCTGATGGTTTTCGCTACGGTATTGCCTTTTTGGCGAAAATTTCATGTTCATTTTCTTAATTACGAAACAGATTAATTAGAAACAGATAATTTAATATTTTGAACTAATTGACATGATGTTGCTAACATTAATTCTGACTATTCTTGACGTCGCTAACAATAATAAAGATTTATTAGATAATCGACGCGATTTCGTACGCGTGGATCCCGTTTTACCCCTTTCATCTATCTTACGCGGTTTAGATTTTTTCGTTGATAACAACTAACCGAATTGAATGAAAAATATTAGGGATGGTACACAATTCACTTGTGGCGACATCTACGATACACCACTACAAACGTGTACCAACAGATGGTGCTGTTACGACTTCAACCTGGGCACACTCCACCGCTCATACAAACCTGCATCGCGGTGACGACGGAGTTTTCTACCCTGCCAAGTATACATATACAGGGTGTTAGGTAAATGGGTATATTATTATGAGCCGACACTAGCCCATGTTAACATGGTCATATAAATGGTATGGTGAAGTTAGAAATTTAATATCATCATTTTATTTTTTTTAATTTTCATACAAAATAAATTTTATAAAATCCGATGTGTATGAAAATTAAAATAATTAAAATGAAGATGTCAACTTTCGGACTTCACTATACCATTTATATGACCATGTTAACATGGGCTAGTGTCGGCTCATATACCCATTTATCTAATACCCTGTTTATGAAAACCAAGATGGTAGAAATTGGACCTTGGTCCCCGAGCACAACACCCGCTCGGAAGGAAGCACTCAACACCTTAGCTTCCTTATTGTGGTTGAGCATCATATCCCACACACATAATATAAATGACAGTAATGTTGATCAAATGAGGATCTATTCAGTGTAGTGAGTGATGAATTAAAAACCACATTTCCACAGAGAAAGATCCGAATAAATTCTGTAAAATGTAAATTTGACGACTGAGCTACAACCGGCATTCACAAGAGTAGAAATAAATGTATGAATTATATGAATGTAATAGTCTTAAAGCCGATACGCAAGATTTTAATGTTATAGAATACGTTAAAAATTACTCAAAAATATTAAAAAAGGTTTGTGTGGCTGCTAAATCGACATGATTTTAAAATCTATACTAATATTATAAAGCTGAAGAGTTTGTTTGTTTGGTAGTTCCTGAATCCTGTTTGTTTGGTTGAATTAGCGCGTTCAACCAAACAAACAGGATTCAGGAACTATGGGACCGATTTGGAATATTCTTTTTGCGTTGGATAGCCCGTTAATCCCTGAAGGCTTTAGGCTATACACCACTACATTTTTTATCACCGAAAAAATTTTAACAGGTTATGTAGAAATGTGTGCGGCGAATTCAACCTTTATGAAGATCTGTCAACGAAAAAATTTCAGGAGTATTTTAGAGAGGCAAGAGAAAACTACATCTCAATTCATGATTTGATTAGTAGAAATAGGGATATCTACCTCTCGATGTGATCCCGCTGTCACCAAGTCAACTATGCGTCCTAGTGATATGACTAATTGACTACTATGAACCACAAAACGCTTATTAAATTTGCTACAGGTGAGATAGTCAACTACTCCAGAAGTCTGTAATATAATAAATACAAATATTATAATATTCCCATCATGAGGAAATCAACTACATCAACATTGAGCAATCATTCTAGACATGCGGGAGCATGTTAAGCCTAGTTCCAGGCCCTCCCTGGACTACACCGTGCGTAGGTACTATATTTAGACGAACCACTTGGAGCCACTTTTGACCCCTCACTACTCATAAATTACTGTGCATTAACATTTCAAAGGCTCATATAAACAACAGTTTTAAAAAGAGCGTTGTCACATTTTTCATGCAGAAATCGAGAATTTGGCAGATTTCGAAATGATTTTAGTCATATAATTTATTGTTATAGCTTCTTTTGACTTATATCATCGTAATTATCATACGTTTTTACGGAATGTCTATTGACAAAATCTCGTTCAAATTGGATTTTTGCCGACGAAAACAGCGAATTTCGAAAGCCCGATTTCCAGGTAACTCGCGAAGGCACAACTTTGAACTAATATTACAACAAATTTATTTCAAAGTAAGAAGATAAAATGCATTCATTAGAATAAGCATACCCTGAATGTGGAAATGTATTGAAAAAATTTTGATGTTTAATTCATTAAAATGCATTTTTATCATGTCTAAGATAGTCAAAATTCGAGAAAATTACTGCAAGAAAACAGGTCACATCTCATAATCTAAAAGTCATTTGGCAACATAAACTACTTTATACTTAAGAAGAAAGATAGTACTATTAATGTGTGAAAAAGAAAAAATATCTATCTTCAATCTTCAAATGAAAAATTAATTTGAAAATACTATAAAATCGGGTGCATCAAATGGCATAAATCAGTCGTGCTTTGGCACTCGTAGACGCCGGGCCTATTTCAGTTGACTGCCCACTGACGTATATGCATCACGCGTGATTTTTTCGTAAATTGTAGTATGATTGAGTACATTTGATCCGCAAGTATTTTTAATTTATTTGTTTAGGTAAATCGGACTTGTAATTTCTTTCTTTTCAAACTTTTTATTATTTTACTTACAGAATATGGGTAGAATAGACAAAAGATATTATTATGGTATCTGTTTGGTCAGGAAAAAATAAATGACTAATAAAAATTTTAACAGGGTGTCAAAACATTNGTCATGGTGCTGACGCCGACGGCCGCCAGCCCCAGCGCCTTGAGGCTGATCTTGTACTGCATCTTGTGCAGCATGATGCACGCCGTCCGCCGGTTGCTGGTGTCCATGCACTCCCACGGCAGGAAGTAAGCTGAATCTATCTCGCTATATCTACATTGAAGGACTCGTATTCCTTACCCCGGTCATGGTGCTGACGCCGACGGCCGCCAGCCCCAGCGCCTTGAGGCTGATCTTGTACTGCATCTTGTGCAGCATGATGCACGCCGTCCGCCGGTTGCTGGTGTCCATGCACTCCCACGGCAGGAAGTAAGCTGAATCTATCTCGCTATATCTACATTGAAGGACTCGTATTCCTTACCCCGGTCATGGTGCTGACGCCGACGGCCGCCAGCCCCAGCGCCTTGAGGCTGATCTTGTACTGCATCTTGTGCAGCATGATGCACGCCGTCCGCCGGTTGCTGGTGTCCATGCACTCCCACGGCAGGAAGTAAGCTGAATCTATCTCGCTATATCTACATTGAAGGACTCGTATTCCTTACCCCGGTCATGGTGCTGACGCCGACGGCCGCCAGCCCCAGCGCCTTGAGGCTGATCTTGTACTGCATCTTGTGCAGCATGATGCACGCCGTCCGCCGGTTGCTGGTGTCCATGCACTCCCACGGCAGGAAGTAAGCTGAATCTATCTCGCTATATCTACATTGAAGGACTCGTATTCCTTACCCCGGTCATGGTGCTGACGCCGACGGCCGCCAGCCCCAGCGCCTTGAGGCTGATCTTGTACTGCATCTTGTGCAGCATGATGCACGCCGTCCGCCGGTTGCTGGTGTCCATGCACTCCCACGGCAGGAAGTAAGCTGAATCTATCTCGCTATATCTACATTGAAGGACTCGTATTCCTTACCCCGGTCATGGTGCTGACGCCGACGGCCGCCAGCCCCAGCGCCTTGAGGCTGATCTTGTACTGCATCTTGTGCAGCATGATGCACGCCGTCCGCCGGTTGCTGGTGTCCATGCACTCCCACGGCAGGAAGTAAGCTGAATCTATCTCGCTATATCTACATTGAAGGACTCGTATTCCTTACCCCGGTCATGGTGCTGACGCCGACGGCCGCCAGCCCCAGCGCCTTGAGGCTGATCTTGTACTGCATCTTGTGCAGCATGATGCACGCCGTCCGCCGGTTGCTGTTGTCCATGCACTCCCACGGCAGGAAGTAAGCTGAATCTGGCAACTTTTCAGTCTGCAATCAATATTTATAATGTACTTAGTTATAAAGTAATGGGCTAATAATATACAGGGTGTTAGGTAAATGGGTAAACTAATCGCGCCACCAAAAAAGGGCCTAAGCACAGAAATTTAAAACAATCATATCTCGAAAACTATCAAAAATCGCGGAACATACATGGGGGTGGTTCGGGTAGCCCTAGTCATGCTCTACCTTTTGGGCTTCGGCTTGACACTACTTTTTGGGACATCCTGTATAATCTTTTGTGCCGGCTCCTACGTTCCTACGCCACTCATCCATCGTGTGGATCTAGTAGATAGATATTATTGGCACCAACGTTGGAGAAATATCTTACTGACCTCTGAACCCAACATCTCAAAAATGACTGACATTTGAATCAGTTGACCGTATATGAGTAAAGTCAGTGGCCCATAACGTAACATTGCACCATATCCACCTGCAATTCAAAACACGCATTTTTGTAATTAAATGTTAATCCCTTAACGTTAACTATGTTAGTGAGTATAAAAATATGTACCTTCCGAACATTCCAGTAGTAACAAGCTACAGCCAACAAGATGAAACAAATAGGTACAGGCTAAAATGGGCCCGAACAATGCCGAAAGTTCATCCGTAAATCTAAAGCAGATTCTCAATTATTTTCTATCTACCACCAATCTAAATCACCGCTTTAAACTAGGTATATTATGTAGCCATACTGGTGTGGCGTGTAAATAGCCACACCAGGCGGGATCTTAATCGGAAGTCCAAATTACGTTTCCCAAATAATTTTGCTTGCAGAGGAGAAATAGTTGGTCCCACTAACCTCTGAGCCAATTTCGGGTCCCCTTCCGTCAGCTCGACCACCGCTGGCACCGGGACACTCCGGAATGAAGATGGATCGGCTTCGTTTCCCCTGCAGGGGGTTCGGGTCACGAGCAATTTGGGCTTTGACTGCGTAGGTGGTTTGATGCGAATGCGTTGTGCGTTATGATTAAAATATTGCGGTTTGCGGGCGATAAAAGCAATGGATAAAAGTGCAGTTTTTCACTCGCGAGACTGCGAAGATTGTTTTTACGGTGAAGTGTGTCAAAGCTTGGCGTTCAGAAACGCCAAGAATGACCACAGAGATGTGGNAATAGAAATTGTAATAAAAATCGCTATGTCCATAAATCGCAATTTCGATCCATAGTGCGCCGGCTCAAGGGCTAAGGGCGGGGACTTTTGCTATGTTCACCTCCTAACTAGTCTAAATAAAGTCCTGAAGTCAGAAATTGTGTTCTACAGTTTTCCATCTATAATGCTTTATTGACTGGACTATGCTATTTAATTTTAAAATTGTAACGCTTTAAAATACGTTCCAAAATGTTCTTCCAAATAGAAACTCCTTCGAAAGTGTAAGAAACCCCCAAGTAACAATAGTGTCAAGCAATCAAAACAAACGTCGCGGCGGTGTCGCGGCGATAACGCAGCGATCACGTTACGCTATCGTCGTGTCACATTGTTCGATATCGAGACGTGCACTTTCGCTCGATATGTAGGGCTGTTACTGTATTATTTGAAAAGCTAATTTAATTAAAAATAAATCAACGGTCACAGAGTGATATACGGTGAAAAGTTTTTATATTTCTTAATCATCTACTTAAATAGCTTGTCCTAGATACCGTGTTTATGATAATACTGTATAACACTTTGTGGATATTTTTGTGAATACATATTTTGTGAACATTATAATAATACAACTGCATCTTGAATCGGTTTACGTTATTATATTTTTGAAGAATGCTGTATGGAAGCGGGCTTATTTATGGGCCCTTGCTCTTAACTAATGAATATAACTTAAGTTTAAGTAGTCCTGAACTTCTATGAAGGGCCTATTTGGTGAGTAATGATTAATTTTTAGAACCATCATAGTGTTTTCTATGTTTTTCAATGGTGTCAAATGTAGGAGGGCATTATGGGAGTCACCACAAGATACCCTAAATTATAGACAAATGGCAAAACATGACAGTTGTAATTTTATAATGCCTGCGCTCTATGTGCTTACGTTAAGTATGCTCGCTACCGACTGCGTAAAAAATGACATTAAATATGTGACAATTTACAGCGCCCTTAGCGGCTACTTTCAAGAACTAATTTTGACGCACTGGCTAGCGAGCACACCTAAGGTGAACTCATGGTAAGCAAGCACACTGACACGTTTTTCCATTTTTTTGATGGGCAGATTGCGTTGTCTCACACATTCGCCCACCTTGCAGCCCTACACGATGTAGTTGTCGATGCAAGTTGCACCCGATAGAGCATTGTCCTCGATAAACTTGTTATTGCGATCGAGAAAGCGGCTATCACCTCGGTTATTTGTAAATACATCGCTCGTTTAATTGCTCAGATAGGTAAGGTGACTTTTCCGAATCTATTGTAGGTGAGTTTTCTTCGCTAGTTCTAGATAAGCGGTTACCTATGAGCTTCTTTGTCTACATCTACGAGTACACTAATATTATAAAGAGGAAAACTTTGTTTGTTTGTTTGTTTGGTTGTAATGAATAGGCTCAAAAACTACTGGACCGTTTTTAAAAATTCTTTCACCATTCGAAAGCTACATTATCCACGAGTAACATAGGCTAAATTTTATTTTGGAAAACATAGGGTTCCGTAAAATATGTAGATAATGTAGTCCACGCGCGCGAAGCCGCGGGCGGTAAGCTAGTTTACTATATTTTGACGTTCATAATTGCCAACAGTAGTCTAAATTGAATAAAATATTTTTAATTTAGATTTTTTTTGATTCAATCATAGATTCAGAGCTGTTGTTGAATTTGCACGGCCTAAAATCTTCTAGTGTATGTAGGGTAGGTACTTGAACTTGAGTGTTACCTATCTAAAAAATAAAGCTCAATTTATTTAATTATTGTGAAAATAATAAAACTTTCAACATAACGAAGTCGCATAAATCGACAGTTGCAGATAGCAGTTTGTTTTGGCTACGTGCAACGAAGAAATCACGATCTTGTATTCGACACCGGTATCAAATAACTGCCTTATAGGGTGATAGTATGATAGTTATCCAAGCCTTATTGTTGGAAAATCAGCTTTTGGTTTAAAGAATTCATATACTCATTATACAGGGTGTTTCTTGTAAGGTGTCAAGCCGAAGGCAGGTGATAGGCGAGGACTAGACCTATCGATTTCACCCCCATGTATGTTCTACGATTTTTCGTAGTTTAGAAGTTATCGTTAATTTTGTGATTTTTTCAAATTTCATGACCTAGTGGCTTAATTTTTTTTTTATCTTTTTTTTGGGTTGACTTTTCTCAGATTTCTTTTTTTTTGACAGATTCCCTATTAGTTGCAGATATTTGAAAAAAATAATCACCTTCCTATCTTTGATGCAAGATACAAAATTTTTGCTAGAAACATAAAAAATATGCTTTTAGTTTTTTTTCTCATACATTTCAGTTAAAAATTTTAGAATGTTCTGCTAAAAGCATATTTTTTATGTTTCTAGCAAAAATTTTGTATCTTGCATCAAAGATAGGAAGGTGATTATTTTTTTCAAATATCTGCAACTAATAGGGAATCTGTCAAAAAAAAAGAAATCTGAGAAAATTCAACCCAAAAAAAAGATAAAAAAAAAATTAAGCCACTAGGTCATGAAATTTGAAAAAATCACAAAATTAACGATAACTTCTAAACTACGAAAAATCGTAGAACATACATGGGGGTGAAATCGATAGGTCTAGTCCTCACCTATCACCTGCCTTCGGCTTGACACCTTACAAGAAACACCCTGTATATACTCATTTGAATGAAAATTCCATGTCAATCTCGTATTTTTCGACTTTATGTGAGTTAGTTCCTATTTACCGCGAGAAAAATTCGGTTAATTTTCGAGAAAACCCTAAAACAGCCCTTTTTTACGCGGGCGAAGCCGCGGTCGGAAAGCTAGTAACTTATAAAAAAATGTTTAAGATGCAACTCTTAACGTAAAATTTAATAACCATGAAGCGTAATATGTCAGTATTAAGAAGGCTCAAGGTCACCGGGCGAAGGAGGGTGCTATGCTCGGAGTTTACCTGCTTGATCGAATCAGAAATGAGGAGATCCGTAAGAGAACCAGAGTGACTGACATTGCCCGCAGAATCGCTAAAGTCAAGTGGCAGTGGGCGGGGCACATAACTCGTAGAGCTGATGGCCGCTGGGGCAGGAAAGTTCTTGAGTGGCGACCACGAGCCGGAAGACGTAGCGTGGGCAGGCCTCCCACTAGGTGGACCGACGATCTGGTGAGGGTCGCGGGAGGTGCCTGGATGCGAGCGGCGCAGGACCGGTCTTTGTGGAAATCCTTGGGGGAGGCCTTTGTCCAGCAGTGGACGTCTTTCGGCTGAAACGAACGAACGAACAAACGTAATCTGTCCAAGTGTAGAACGTGTCAAAGCTTCGACGTTATTGCTACGACCTAGACGGTCAGTTTCTCGGTAGAGAGAGTGTCTAGGGCCCGATAAGGTGCATTGTTATCAGTCCTTGTGCAACGATTGCATACATTGCGACTGCACTCGTCCGATAACCGAGAAAAATACAAATCGATCGGTTTTGAGTCAAAGGTCAAATTAATATAGACGACAGCACGTCAAGACTACACTTTTTTGTTGCAAACTCAACTCTATTACAAGTAATTAAGACCTCACTTGATGTCTGTATTTTAGTTGTGATTTTTTAAACCTGTATCTTAATTCTTTAATAATCCGATGTGACTTTGTGTTGCAAATTTGATATTTATAAACAATTTGATATTGCTAATTGATATTGCAGACAGAGTGTACTCAGTTAATTTGCGCCACAAGTTGCAATGCTAAGACAGTCTCAACACAAGTGACGTTTTTTCATTTGTGTTGTCGTAGGTTCTTATTATTTTAATTCATTTAGATTTTTAGTCGTTCATAACTCTACGTGACAGAATAAATTGTGGAAATACAGAAAGAAAATGGCTCATCACTCACCCATCATCATATAAATCAAATTTTAATTACAAGTTATAATTAACTGACTAGCGGCCGTCCGCGACTTCGTACGCGTGGATCCCGTTTTACCCCCTTAGGGGTGGAGTTTCGTAAAATCTTTTCTTAGCGGATGTCTACGTCATAACATCTACCTGCATGCCAAATTTCAGCCCGATCCATCCTGTGGTTTGGGCTGTGCGTTGATAGATCACTATGTAAGTCAGTCAGTCAGTCAGCTTTGAGTTATATGTATTTAGATACCTAGTGTCTGGTCTGCTTTCATCATTTCCTATGAAATCGCTATCCCAGGAAAAAGGCACTAAGGCAGCTTTTTTGAACAATAAAAGAATGGTTCATCATATTTGTTCTTCCCAGCAGGCGATTACAGGCGTTATAAAGATCCCGATACAATAAATCAGGGGGCCATTTTAGGGGGTCGTTAGCGATTTAAAATTTCAATATCGCAGCCGATCAGTTAAGGCGAATGAGTGTAATGGCATATAAATCAGTCGGTATCAATGTAGCCTCTGTCAATAGGTGTGAGGTGCGCGCGCGAGGATAGTGTGGGTGCGCCTTTAGCGAATTTATGTAGTTTGAAAATGAATCGCCCATTTTCGTTTTAACTCCAGCAATGGCCGTTTGAATATTTAAATTACTAACATGTAATATTGTTAATAATTATTGTGTACTTATGTTGTTAACATGACAGATTATTAATAATACTCGTGGAAATAAATAACATTCTAACATTCTAATAATTAACATCGAAACGCAATTAAATGTAATTTTTTTAGAATGTCAGAAACGGAAATATTTCAGTATCCTACATAAGCGAGCCTTTAGGATTAAAAAAACAATACTATTTTTCTATAAAATTGGTCTTAATCAATTAGATTCCTTCATCATTCATTATCATTATGTGCCACATTAACCGCAATAAAGTAATTCTTATTCAAACGAAAATTACTCAATTTAGGGTGGATTCGACGAAACAAGAGTAAATATGAATCTCAGAATAAATCATCAGTTTTGAGATATTTCCCATACTGAAACTGTCAATGTGCCAGTTATACCAGGAGTTATTCTCGAATAAAAGTTTGGTCGAATCGGTCCTAAACCTATCGAGGGTTAAAGT